TTGAGAACAATTTAAGCAGAAAAAAACACACAATACCACACTCATAATCATTATAAAACCTAAAATATGCTTAAAAGTAGGATGAGCAAAGGAAATCAAATCGAGTACTTACATTACTGCCTTTCCAGGTCTGATACATCCGGAGAAACGGCGTATTTTCAACTGCGCCACCATCGGAACCCGTACTCCTCGGCGGAGCGACTCCATTCATGTCTTTTTTCTCTCTGTAACAGGAAAAAATTTGGGGAAGAAAAAGCTGTACAAAATGAATCGGGAAAAGGTCAAATGAAAAGAAAGCAAAAAAGGAAAATGAAAAAAAGGCGGCTTTTTATTTGTTTATTTTTTTCTCTCTAACTTTTATTATTACTACTGCTTCACTATTTCTTCTATTTGGGTTCTTTGCAGGGCAGCGGGGTTTGACTGAAAATCTGGCAAATGGCAAAACGTTGACTGCGTCAGCCACGTCAGATCACGGCGACTCTCCAGTGTATAAAAGCAAATGGACGGTGGCGGCGTTAATGTACAAAAATTTAAATGGAATATTTTATCCTACATACAACCTTTTGTTAATTTGAAAAAATAAATCAAAATATTGTTTGATTGTATATTACTTATTTTTTCACTTTAATTTTAAATTAAATTGAAAAATAGTTCTAATCACTTTTTTTGAGCTATACATGAATATTTCAGATAAACAAATTGCCTTGTTATCATCTCATTTGGTAGTTATGGATAGTTTGAAATAATATTTTTCTTCGCTTTTGGTAAACTCCAAATTAAAGAAACATGAAAATAAAAATGTACCACTACTTGTCAAAATTATATTAAACACATTCTCTTTTTAAAACAAAAGGCATCTTCCCCTTTTTGTCCATGCTTGAAATATTTTTATCTTTTTTGAATTAATATATTTTTAGAGTCCATGCTTGAATATATTTTCAAATAAAATGTATATTTAAATGATTAATTTCAAATAGCATCTTTAACTAAATTTAAAATATTATTCAAAAATTAGACCTAATTGGTGCCCTAATATCAACAAAGATTTGAGCATGAGGAGTGAGTGGCAATTGAAATGATTGAAGGCAAGCATTTTAAAATTGTGGAATTAAGTGGGGGACAAATTATGGAATTGCCGACTCTTTCTCTTTCTGTGGTGTAGCATTGGTGAAAGTTAGACCAGTTAAGATTATTTTTTATGAGGAAGTCATAATTAAATAATTGTCACATCATAAACATATGAAAAAAATTGGAATCATGAATTTAACCAATATCACAGTAGAATTCGAAATCCTTCAATTTCAGTTTTATCATTTATGGTAACTCTAATTTGTCACGATTCTAATTTACAAGTACTAATAATAAGATTAAACTTAGAGATTATCAATTTTTTTGAGATAGGTAAATCGAGTTTTCCTCCAAATATGAAATTTGGATATGCCACGTGCCTAAAGAGACAGAAAAACAAAGAGATGTGTGTTGTCATTAAATTATATATCCGTCAACTTCAAAATATGAAAATAGATAATAAAATATCTCATATTTGAGTGTGATTTTAATATGTAAATGAAAAATCAAATTTAAAAAGACAAACTATGTATTTAAATATACATTTCGAAACCAAACTGTCAGAAAACTCACAAAAAATTCTTTTAAGTAAGTTGTTAAAGAGTTGAGGTTAACAAACCTTATATCCTTAAAACCAATAAGTAAAAGCTTTTAAAAATTCATTAAAAACCATTTATGATTCAATAATGCTTAAAAACAATTGCCACCGTTAATGGCCTCAACTATGCTCTAACAAATTAAGTTAATTTTTTAAAAAAAATTAACCAAAATAAATGATTCATAATTAAGTATTAAATGTCCAAAATCTTTATAACTCGGAATCTAAAAAACATAATATAATTAGGTAAATGCAAAAATTAGTTATTGTCGCAATCTCTTGTGGGGTTTCTGTTTATGAATACATATATTTTTAGCCTAAATTTGGGAATTTTCAATATAGCCATCCATTTGAAGATATTGAGTAGTTTACCAACTAATTGGGTATTTGAGTTGACCCAAAATCATATAGGTGTCCCAAGAAAAATTAGAATATTATTAAACAGCACATTTTGTATTAATTAATTAATTGGAATTATTATAATAGATATTAATCTGTATTGCCAACTGCCAACAACCAACGTCAAGTGCCATGCCAACTATACAATTGTGTTTTACTTATTCGTTGTCTCTTATTTTTATTTTTATTTGAAAAATAAAATGAAGATCCTAAATTGATACATGTAGGAATGTGTGTCATTTACGAAAATTTTCTAAGAAAGATAATGCTACTAAAAGTAGAGAGTCTATTTTCGATAGATCTTTGGCTCAAGAAAATAATTTAAAGCAACAAACAGTAACAAAAATAACAAATTGTAATACAATGAAAAGTACAACAAAACAACAAGTAATAACAAAAATCGAAAGTCAAGAAACTATAAGATTAATACTACGACTACTAATATGAACATACAACGAGACAAAACATTGTCACCTACATGTATCTTTCTTAAATTTATTTTTCTTTTCATGTTTGAAAGCTGAGTCTATCTTTTTTGTCTTTTTGATAACTTGAACCCACAATCTACGGGTTTTCTTGCCAAATGACTTAACGATGATGAATAAGCTCATGCCAACCCCCATACCAATCAAGTTTATTGGCCCAACTAGGCGCTGGACTCTTTGGGCCTGGGCTTATCTAAAATAATTTGGGGTTAAAAAAAAGGTCCTACCGGGAGTCGAACCCAGGTCGCTGGATTCAAAGTCCAGAGTGCTAACCACTACACCATAGAACCCGACATGTTGCTGTATTGTATTAGTCGGGTCTAATATTAATACAATCCAAGTAGCTCCCAAGTTACGAGTTGAGTTGGATTGGGCAGCGGAGCAGCTAAATGATCACTTGAATGCCTTTATCGAAAAATTATATAGTGCAGATAAAACATAACATGGTACATATAGGTCAAAATAAAAATAACTTTTTTAGAAATCTAAAATAAAATTTTGAACACCCTTAATTCATAGCATCGTCATCGATATTGAGACCCTTTCTGCTAATAAAACACCACTTAGATATTTTCTAATTCAAATGAATAAATATAAAAAATTAATTTAAGTTGCAGTTATTAAATTGTGCTTTCAATTCTCATCAAAAGTTTGGGAAAAAACAATTCTCATCAAAAGTGTTGTGAAATTTGGAATCATGATCTAACTTTTGAAATCGAGTTAGTCAGAGTGGATAACCATTTTTTTTCTTCAGATAACCATTTTCTTTACTCAAACATTGTCAAGGAAAAAGAGAACTTAAGAAAGGGAAAAAGAGATGATAGAAATAATATATATGTGCATATTAATTCACTAATGTTATGTAAAATAAACCTTTGTGATTGAAACCCTTCCTTAAACCCTCACATATAACAAAAGGTTAATATACCGAACCACAGTGTTATTCATTTCGGTTGGGAGTGAGGAATAAATTAGCCACGTTGTCCTGCATGGCTTCAAAGATAATAGGAAAAAATAACATAATTTCGAAGGCATGTATGTAGTGGCTGCTGAAATATATTGAGAGGACACTAGCCATCCAAAAAATCCTAAATTAAAGTTTCGTCCTCTTGTTGTCTCCCATTATTTTTCCTTTTCTAAATGTGAAAAGGTGGATATATACAGGATTAATCTTATCCAAAAAAACATGAAGAAAAGCCAATTACATGATATAAGATATAGTTCAAGATTTTGATCAATTCATAAAAGGTAGCAAAGTTGTTAAAAGAAAATTAATTTCTCCACATATATCAATTATCTCAAAGAAACATACGTCTCTTCCTTCATCCCTATTATGATTAATTTGGAATTGCCCAAAATGATAGTTCTGATTTCTGTTCTAAATAATCAATTTTGGGCAAAATATGCACCATATCATATCAAAGTATTGTTACAGAACGCTATATATACTACAAGAAAATAGGGAATTTATCGATAATTTCTAGCTAATTCGTCACCAAAAAGCTCCTAGCTAGTTCAATTTTTCTTATATACCATCACAAAATCAAGTTAGCATAAGATTTCGATTTATTTAGTTTGAAAATTTTGTCTGTCATTAATTTTTTTATTTTCTAATAATTAAAATATATACTCAAAACACCATAAATTTATTTGAAAACTCTTATATATATCGCGAAAGATCGAGGAAATAATGATAACATTCTTTATAACATATATAGTATAAAACCACGAAATTAGATTCATTTAATCATATTACGTACTACACAGATTATTGAAGCAACGTAACCCACCTACAAGACAAGATAAGCCTACTAATAAAGCTTCCAAAGCAAATCATGTTCTAGTGATAATTTTCATCACCTACATACAGTACTGTAGTAAATATATTGTCCTTAAAAAAATATATATTAAGGCAATAGGACTATATATAATCCGATTCTATAAATTATTATTGCCAAATGGCAAACATTAATTGGTCCTTCCATCATTCCTGGATTGATTTTTTGCTGATTAGGAACACATTTTGTTTTCAGAAAAAAGACATTTCTATATTCAATAACAATTTAACTTTAAAATATTTTTAGATGTTTGTGAAATAAGTTATAACCACACAAATATCTATGACTTAATTCAAATAACATGTTTTAATGATTTTTTTTCTCTTTTTAAAACTTATTATCAAGTTAAATAACATTACATAAATTGAAACGAAGGGAGCAGTTAATCACTGGCAAGCTTAGTGCCCCTTTAGATTGAAAGATGAGTCAATGACATAATAAAAGCGTTACATAGGGTCCTTTGTAAAGATATAATTATTAAACACACCTCATTAAAAAGTGTTTTTATTTGTTTTTTATTTTAAAGAAATTGAAAGAGAAATACAGTATAGATCATAAATAGAAGTTCTCCACTAATGTCACTTACTATATAAACATGTCAAATGAGACATCTTCATTCATTGACAAGTAGAACTACTCAAATATTTGCAAGTATAAGAGAGCTAAGGCAAAATATTTCTTTCTTTAGTAAAAAAAAAATGGCTGGATTTTCTGACCACTGGACCTTTGCATTTGGTGTCCTTGGTAATGATTCTTTCGTTTCAATTTATGTGTCTTGCATTTTTTTTTAATCTTTGATACACAAAAAATTAATTATCAAATGATTGCATATAATATTCTAATTTATAATTTACGTACATATTTTGCAGGAAACATAATCTCATTTTTCGTTTTCCTTTCTCCACTGTATGTCTCTTGTTCCTTAAATTCATTTTTATCCTCCTTCAAAGTGTTATTATATAGTAGTATTTTTTTTTTTTGTGTCAATCAATTAATTAATTTGCATAATTATGCTTGTACAGGCCAACATTTTATAATATTTATAAGAAAAAATCAACAGAAGGTTATCAATCAATTCCATACGTGGTTGCTTTATTCAGTGCAATGCTTTGGATTTACTATGCATTTCTCAAGACCAACACCACACTTCTCGTCACTATTAACACTTTTGGATGCTTCATTGAAACTTTATACGTTGGCTTCTACCTTTTCTATGCACCAAAGAAAGCCAGGGTAAGGTTTTCGATATGCTTGTACTTTCAAAATATATCAGATCACCTAAAAGATAATTATATGTAACTGTTCGGAATTAATTTTTGACTTTGCAAATGCAGGTCCAAACTATAAAGCTACTTCTTTTATTAGTAGTTGGTGGTTTTGGAGCTATTGTCCTCGTCACTCAATTTCTATTCAAAGGAGCAATTCGTGCACAAATTGTTGGATGGATTTGCCTTGTGTTTTCCTTATGTGTTTTTGTAGCACCATTATGCATAGTGGTAAGTTTATACATACATTTGTTGAAAGATTTTAACTTATTGTGTAGAATTTTCACACTATCAGATCACTTAAAAGATAATTACATGTAACTGTACGTCTACAATAAGTAAAATTGGTTATCTACAAAATAAGTCAGCAAACTTGTTACAATATGTTAAATTATATATGTACATCGATAATATAACTGGAAAATGATGTTGAAGTTCTTATTTAATGCAGAGACAAGTAATCAAAACAAAGAGTGTGGAATACATGCCGTTTCTCCTCTCTGTTTTTCTAACTCTAAGTGCAGTAATGTGGTTTTTCTATGGTCTTCTATTAAAAGACTTCAACATTGCTGTAAGTTCTCTTTAAACTTTCATTTCCTACTTATAAGTTATAACATATACACTCTGTTTTAATTTGTTTGTCTTAATTTTTTTTAGTCCATTTCAATTGTTTTTTGGCAACTCTTTAATTTCAATGTTTCACGTGACCTATTCAAGACCACAAGATTAAAGGACATTTTGAGTATATTCTACATATCTATGATTTAAGATCATAAGATTTGAAAAGTCTTTTTTACTTTCATAATAGTCCGTATCAAGTCAAAATCAAACAAATAAATTTAAACAGAGAGAACATAATTATTTGAACTCCAGAATTAATATATATTTTTTCTTTCTAATTTTTTTGTTGAATAGATTCCAAATGTGTTGGGTTTCATCTTTGGTATTCTCCAAATGATACTCTATGTGATGTACAACAAAAAAGAGGAAGTTGTTATAAAGGAGCAGAATCTTCCAGAGCTAAAAGACCATGTTATAATCTTAGAGGATGACAAGAAGAAGCTTCCAGAACTAAGTGAAGAGCAAATTATTAACATAATGAAACTTGGTTCACTTGTTTATTCAGAGAAGAATTATGGAAATTTAAATGAGGTTGCTAAAAATGACAAGGTTGTTTCCAAGCTGCAAACTGTGGAAGCTTGACACTTTGTAAATTTGTTTGGTAATTTGTAAATTTGCAAGCATCTTTATATTATCCCAAATACAAGAGTTATTGGCTTATTTTGATTTGTATTGTATTTACATAGTTAGTGCTTAATTATCAACTGTAAATTATGTTTGCCCATTAATATTTCAAGGTCTAATTGTAGTCACTTTCTCATGATCTCTTTTATAACTCTAGTGCTTTCTTATACGGCTACACTTTTCTATAACAATATTTTATTATGACGGCCTAGTTTTATTTGATATCAACTTTCATGTTATGTTATGTTATAGATTTATCAACAAGGTTTATCAAAAATAAAAAAATCTCTATAAGCTATAACATGTAAAATATATCCAGACAAACAACACAGTTATAAAGATATTTAATTGTCTATATTGAGAATAAATAATTTGTTACTATACTTTATACGATTAGCACACTGCACATTATTAGATCATAATCTCATGTCATGGTTTCTAAACGGAAGATTATTAATATATTTCGAATCAACTAATCTAAGATGGAAAGGAAACTAGAGGGGAATAATACTGGATATATAATACTTAATACTCTTATTAACAAGGGAAAATTTATTTATTTTTTAAAATATGTTTAACTAGCCTCGAGTAATAAGTAATTCATTTTTTTGGGTAGTTAAAGCTGTTTTACAATATCTTGCATTTAAAGGTTTTTCAAAATAAACAAATTTTTATAGTTTTTGCACAAATTAACTAGTCAATCCACGGAAAGGTACATTAATTATTGATAAATATATTTTATGGATCCGGCTTTTCTCCATTTCCCTTATCTCCATTTTCCCCAAGTTTTTACTTTGATCGAAGACACTTGACATATGGGAAAATTAATGGCTAAGATTTAATTAATTAAATCGATTAAATCAAGGTCTAATCATAATTTAGATAATTAATATTTCATAAAAAAATTAATAATGTCATAATTATAACAATAAATTATCTTATCCGTAAATACATAATAAACTTTTCTTTATTTTCCTACTTTTTTTTTCCCAACGAGTATCTATCTTTCTACTCCTTTTTTCCCCAATTAAGTTAATCTTTGATTCAAATTTTCTGTGGATATTTCTCTTTAAAATTACTAAATTAGCTATCGTAGAGAATTATATTGACAAACAATTTAACTTATGATTTTTTCTTTAAAAAAAATGGAAGATAAATGCGGCTTAGGAAAAAAATTAGGAAGAGAGAAAAGTTTATACTCCCTCTGTCACCGGAGTTTAAGAAAATAAAAAAGACTTTTAAATTTTGTGATCCTAAATTAAAATTATGTCCAATGTACAAAATTACCCTTTAATCTTGTGGCCTTAAACATGCCACGTGAAAAGTTGAAATTAAAATGTTACCAAAAAAAAAAGATCATTCTTTTTTGAACTGACTAAAAAGGAAAGGAGGTCATTCTTTTCGAAACGAAGGGAGTAATATTTTTATGAAGAACATAATATATTGATATAATTGTGGCATTATTAATTATTTGATGAAATATCAATTACCTAAATCATGATTAAAATCTTAATTTAATGAATTAAATCATAGTCATTAATTTTTTCATATGTCATGTGTCTTCAATCAAAGCAAGAACTTGAAGAGAAGAAAAATGGAGAGCAGCAGATCCATATTTTATTATAGTAAGACTTTATGAAGAGTAAGTTCGAGCCTTTAGTAGAAAAATATTTTAATGTTTCTTCTTTGCATGCAATTTAAAATTATGGACGTGATATGTACAGATAGATTATAATAGCAACATGAATAAAGCTAAAACCCCCAATTGTGCCAGACTTTTTAAATTCAACTTTCTTTAGATCATATATTTGCAGCCTGTCCTCTTTGTTCGAAGTACACATTGGAGTTTCGATTAAATCTGGATCGCGCACTGCAGAGTCCATTCGAAGGTGTGACGCTCCCAACAAGATTTTTTTCATAGAGCTCGAACTCGAGACCTCTGGTTAAGGGTGAAGCAATCAATCACTGCATCACAACCCATATTGGTTTGTCCTCTTTGTTAACGCTTGCTACTATATAT